CCGATCCCCTCAGATATGTAGTCAATATTTACCTGTACAAACTAACAGTTGAACTCGATGTACTTTGATACTATTCTTACTTGTTTATGAAAGATTTTTTCATTTTTATAGCAGTGCTATTATGATTTGTTCCTTAATAGTTTGGAACATTGAATACAGATTACCTAAACGGCATTTACGAGTATTTAATTAACCAAGTTCTCAAAGAGAGAAGTCTTACTAGACATCTAACACGATTTGACGACACCGTGCGCAGTTGTCCGGACGGATGGTGCCTGCCAAATACGATTTTAGACTCTCCAAATTGGAACATCACCCATTTTTGCAGTAAGGAAAATATTAACTCGTCGTTTTTTTAACCAAAAGGTATTTACAATTTAGACTAGTTTAGATTTGTATTGTGTCTTAGGTCAACTTCTAATTCATTGAGACAATTAATGTGACATACAAATGGTAAAAATTATAATCTGCAGCCTAACTAGAATAGTTACCCTTTAAATACACCCACTTATTATTATTAGGTACGATTTTCTTATTTAGTCGATTTCGTTTTCCTCATTCAGTTGTCAAGTCCGGGTAAAAGATCTTACCGTGTCACCGGTGTCGAGGGCGACTATTGTGAGTGACAAACTTATAAACATACAAATTCATTACGTAGGTACTTCACTACAGACACACTACTTAATTATCTACTAAGAATTATTTTGTATCAACGCTGTTTCAAAGTAAAAACTATGTGGGTATTTTATGACTCCTTTCAAGAATAAGAGAAGATGTACCCCGGACCTTCTTTTTGAGGATAGAAAACCATCCAATGACTTCTCCCGCCTTGGGTTGGCGAGAGGGAGTGGCAGACTCTTACTGAATAAAAACCACCCCGTTCCTACTCCTGCCCTTCGAGCCGGAGCCCCGGTAACCCGTTAGGCCTTCCGCGGCTGCGTATCGGGCATCAGCCCTACTGGGCCCCATCCATGGTGGTCTGATGGATGGCCCTTTGAGGCGCGCGCGGAACGCGACGTGCCGTACGCACGGGACTGGTTCTGGTTGGGCGGCGATCTACCCTTGCTCACCGTCCGCAGACCCGCACCTACGGTGGCCGGAGTTCGTCACGCGATCTCGTACCCGGAATCTACGTGTACCTAGTATTGTTTAACTTATTAGGAAGGATTGACTGCCTCGTTGACCGAGTGGTTGCCAGTGCGACTGCCGAGCAAGGAGTCTCGGGTTCGATTCCTGGGTCGGGTGGTGTTACTGGGTTTTAAAAAAAAATGACAGTAGTAGCACGGGGTCTAGAATCTCGCTCGGTAATCGCAATAGGCTCACCCGCTATTACATTGGAATCATAACATAAATAATGAAAAGTGGGTGTTACACAGTACAGTGGCATTAAGTGCCGTAATGTACAGTTCGTATCTACTTACATAGATACAAACGATTAAGTATTTGTCAATGAATGTTTGTACTTAATTTGTGGTTTTTTTGTCTGTCTAAGAACAAACCGTCCATGACTTGTTGTAAGAGATCGCTGTAGTTAAGCAATTGACTCTAGATGATCATTCAAAAGGTCTCTAAGAAAAAAATAGGAAGTTACGACAGCATTTTGTATCCGTGGCAAAAGTTGAAGGGCGTTTAAGATGTGGCAAGTCACACAATCATCATATCAGCCATAGGATTTCCACTGCTGAACATAGGCCTCCCCCAATGAGTTCCATATAGGCCGGTTGGAAGCGACCTGCATCCAGCGGCTCGCTGCGACCTTAATCAGGTCATCTGTCCACCTTGCGGTGGCTTAATTGATTGAGCCGTGTTGCTGTCGAGAATTTCAAGCGAGAGATTCATATCAACGGCCTAAGTGTCCACTGGTGACCAAAGGCCTCTTCTTACATAGAGAAGGTTTGAGCATCAATTCGATAATTATTAATAGATATTAATAAGACCACGCTTTCTCAATGCGGGTTAGCGATTTCAAACTTATAATTAGAAATTATAAGTCCATGTTTCTTCGCGATGTTTCCTTCACCATTAGTCAGTGATATCTAAATAATCTTAGAAAGTACCAACATATCACATAAACAGTCACATTGGTACTTGCTTTTGGTAGATTTCCACAGAAATATTCGTAACCGCACCGTCATGCATGAGAAGCATTTTAGACATTTTCAGCGACAGAAATACAAGCGACAGATTCAAAGAGCTTTTATCAGAGATAGATCGATATCATCCCTGTGTAGTCACTAAGATACTAGGATCGATCCATCTTCATCATCGTCATTCAGTTCGTATATGTCTATTTCTGGATAGCAGATACCTATAATGAAGGCCTCTCCAAAGATGAAAATCTAGTTCTGAAAAAAGTTGTATGCCTAGTCAGTCGTAGCGTTTTTATCATCGACCTCGATCTCGAAGAGTGAAAGTCCGACTTTACTGGATACAATTTCGATTTTAGGACTAGTGCTCATAGTACTCACTTCAAAGGTGGGTACTGGATAGTGCTCACTTCAAAAGAGGATTTTCGCTTGCTCTCTAATAGACACGTCTTTTGATAATTAGGCAGGTCGGAAAAATAAGCTAAAGTAAATTAATAGATACCATCTGGCAAAACATATTTTTTGTTTTTTCCATCTTTACTACAAATTCGATTTAAATTGGCGACCGTAAGATAAAAAATAAGTATAGCTCAATAGCCAGATATTCAATCACATACAAATTATGAGACAGACATAGGTAATGATATTGTTGTTAACTAGTCGTTAAGTTATTCGTTATGTGTCATTTGAAAATTAAGTTATTTTCAAACAGGAAGAACTTTTTGCGAAGTTCGTTAACTTGTCTAAGAAGTCTATCTGTTATTACAGTAACATTATGTCATGACTAACGTATCCACCTACTCGTAAGTTAATTTTAAGTACCTAGGTACATTTTCTATCTTTATTTAAGTACTTTGCTTAACTACGATTTAACAATAGTTAACAATAGGTATAGTTATTTTAATAATGATACTTGTTAGGTACCTAAGTTTACGTCACTTTCGGACACGTGGTCAGGAATTTCATGCACCTGTTACATAGTAGAATCAATCTACTAATTCTCTTTACTGTAAATTATAACAGAATCATAACTTCTTTACAAAGTGAAAATTAAAGCCATTAGATAAAAACGAAGATGTCAATAATTATCTACGTTATTTTTATTCATTTTCAGACACGATCTGAGCAAATCCAAGCAGTCCATCACAATTAGGTGCAGCGTGGACTTAAACGGAAACTACAAGCTGGGCGGGCAACTGCTGGTGCTGCCCATCAGGGGAGAGGGGAAATACCATATTAATATCCGTAAGTAAACTCTTGAATGACTACGACAGCTAATACCATTAAGACCTTTCAGTGATGAAGAAAGAAAATATGGCCAACATCGTGCCATATACTATGATTTTAAACATGCCCAATTATAGTCCACTAAAATTACATTCACAGAATTAATTTAAAGAAAGAAGAAGGAACCTTTTAATATATTTTTGCTGAAAGTGGTTGAAAATCGGTCTGGTACTTTTGGAATTAAACCAATTCAGACAGGCGTGTTAATGCGGAAGCGGTCTTTATTGCAAGTATCTACTTGAATGTGCCAAAGAAGATATTATCTCGTTACATTACTATCAGAATCATAATTGCGTTTACTTTTTAATCGTTTTTAATAATTTATTAAACGTATTTGTCTATCGTTTCAGGTGATATAGTGATTAAAGCCAGCAACGCGTTGGTGACGGTCGACGGCGACGATGGCAAGAAACACTGGCACATCGACAACTGGCATTTCACTCATCAGGTCAAAACTGGTGCAGTCTTCAATTTCGATAACCTTTTCAATGGAAATAAGATTTTGGGTGAGTTGTTTAAATCAATATTAAAGTTAGGTATCCCTATATCTTAAATCATCATAAATAAGAGACTGACGGGAGAAGACATTAGAAGAAAGGGCAACTTACAACTCTAAATAAAATCGTAAGTGTGTGTCACACCAATCATTATACTCATAAAATAAATATTTACATTTCAGCTGGGCCTGTAGAAGACTTCGTTAATACAAACTGGCGTGATGTAATGCGTGAGATAGCTCCCCCAATCGTTCACGCCATAGTTGCGCGTGTTGTGGAAGATGTAGAAGCACTGTACAAGGCTGTGCCCGCAGAAGAACTTTATATTCCATAAATAGTACCTAAGCCTATGTACACATTCAATATAAGTAACTATGTAGGACATATAAAAAAACAGTGATAATAAATTAGATTAAGTTTCATTGTGTTTTATTTATGTGCCATGCCATCTTATTTTTTTTCTGGTAACGGAAACATAAAGCTAAAGCCATTATTTCAATTAAACCATAATTGGTACTTTTGAAATGTCAAAAAATAAATATAAAATTAAAACTTTTAAGAAAAGAGCGTATTCCTTTTTAAAAGGTCGGCAACGCACCTGTGACTCTTCTGGTGTTGCGGGTGTCCATGGGCGGCGCTGAACGCTTACCATCATGTGATCCATCTGCAAGTTTCATCCATCAACAGCTTATAAATGCCCACTGCTGAGCAAAGCCTCTTCTCACACGGAGAAGGTTAGAGCCTTAATCACCACGCTTGCTCAATGCGGGTTGGCGATTTCAAACTTATAATTAGAAATTATAAGTCCAGGTTTCCTCACGATGTTTTTCCTTCACCGTTTGTCAGTGTTGTCTAAATAATCTTAGAAAGTACATATAACTCGGAAAAAGTCACATTGGTACTTGCCGTTGGTAGGTTTCGAACCCGCACCCTCATGCATGAGAAGTGGGCGTCTTAAACCTCCGGGCCACCACGACATTAATTATCTGCAAGTTTGCTTCCTACATATTCCATAAAAAATAAAAATAAAATAATAGTCTGTCAGTCTGTCCGTTAGTGAAGTTAAGTGCTTAACTACTGACATTTTTAGTACCTCAATAATTTGTAAATGACATTACGTACTTCACTACAACATTTAGTCGATGAATGGACATCACTACGGTCAAAAATAACATTTCTTTAAGCTGTCACTGTCAATGTCAGACAAATATGATGTATTGAGGTTATGTGATTGTCGAAGGAATAGGTTATGTTGTTTGTGATTTGAATCTTGTGCCTGTGAATTGTATTTATTAAAAGTAAAGAAAAAAGAACGGTATACCTCAATATGTTGTGCCCAGAAGTATGGAACTTTCCTCCACCAAAAGTAATGATAACCCACAGAAAAGACCAGGATATGGAATCAATAAACAAAACAGTGAACATGAACTATTTCTACAGAAGCGTAATAATAACATGCCCTGATGAGATACAAACGCCGAGTTCCATTCAAGATTTAATAACAGAAGATACCGATTATTACAAACTGTCCGATTGTTCACTCACAGAATTTGTGGAGCCAGTTTTCATTGAAAGTTTTATTAAAACCGGCAAAGTATATTGTTTATCAACAGACAGAAATTGTATTATTCAAAATTGTGCTGCTATAACTCCTGATGGACATCTTGTATTACATATTCCTGATTATGTTTTCCAAACATTAGGATTTGAAGGAACGAAGCGCCCACACAACTTTTATGAAGTGAAAATTAATCTTAAAACAATAAAGAACCACTCGAAAGTGCGGACATCGTTGCAGAAGTTGGATAATTTTGACTTTTATATAACTTGGGAGCCAAATAATGAAGAAATCTGCCCGTCATCAATAGCCAAGTATTTTAGTGAGAAGAGTATAAATATTTCAGTTCACTCATTGAATACAAGGAATGTTATCCCATCAGTGGATGAAATACCAGCAGTTATAGATGTGGATATCGAAGAAATGGTTGAGTGGGTGGGATTACTGGCATACGGAGTAGACATGACTCCGACAGAACCATACATAAGCACTTATTGTCAACCTGAGAGCGAGAATGCAATTAAAACTGGAAGAATAAGCATTATGATAGCCAGTGGTTTCATAACTCCTTCATTGGTAAATAATATATGCAAGAAATTATCAGAACATGTTCTCGACAGGGAAATAGACAATTATTGGGCCTCCATAAGCATACAAAGTGATGAGAATAGTTTGTGGCAATGGAATCCAAGCAGTCAGCCAATGTTTCAAGCTCATGACTCTTCATGTAATGTATTTTTTACTCATAATGGACATATATTGTATTCAATAGGACAAATAAAATATTCATAAAATAAAGTGTGTGGTCTTTTTTAGCCTGAGTAAAACCATTGGAAGAATCTTGTTAAAAATTTCTATTGCTTACATTGGACAGCTACTCAGCAATATTGCTGAAAGGTTGATGTTAATGGTAGACAGATAGATTAGGTAGTAAAATCATTAAATAGAAAACTAAAAAACCTATATTTTGTAAAAATAAATACATCTTTACTTACATAATACATCTACATAGGTAACTGGTTGTGTCTACTAAAGTCAGAATAAACTATTATAATATTGTAGATAGGAATGTTTTCATATTGGCAGTCTCAAGTATTTTAAGGGCAGGACAAAGGTTGTACTACTGGAAATCTTTTCTATAATGATGATTTGGTACTGGCCATCTGCGGTAAAAAAATAAAAAATAAAAATCACATCAATTTAGGTAGTTTTATTGAAACAAACCAGTACATAAGACATTACATGTGCCCTGCACCAATAATAAAAAATAAACATCAAAAGATTCCAATCATTTGTTCACTGAGATATGCCAGGAATGCTATTAAATAAAATACAACATCTAATAGTCTTACATGCTAACTAGGTTGGCAACCTATATTGCAGTTTCCATTTGGAATTCAAACCCTGACATTGATTACACTAGTATTAGATACCCAAAATATTACACTTAGAAGAGGCACAAACATCAGTCCAGGTTAGAGGCTGATTCTCCAGTATCCAGCTTGTACTGTATCTGTGTCTATAGTAGTGATAAACTGACTGTATGGTGGTGATATGTGCCCAAAACTATGTTGCTCATAGAACCAGCCTCTAACCCTTTATCAGAAAGTTGCTACAAGCAGTTGCATTGCTAATACTAAAGTAACAATGAAGGGAGAGGCTGAAGAGTAGGACTTTCTAGACCTGGGCGATTCCAATGACACCACAAGCAATGCGGGCGCCAGCGTTGCCTGTTGACTTGCTCAGCTCGTGACCACCAAGGCCGAAGTCATCAGGGTCGGCGTGCACGACCAAGGTACGGCCAATTATGCTGTTGGGTCCATTCAGGGAGATCAAACTGTCTTGGATACACACCTGTAAAAGTAATAGTAATATTGCGGTTATAGCACAAAGAAATATAAAATTTGGACAACTTAAACTTCTTTCAGTAGCATGGGAAATCTATGATCATACCTTTGTGGCGCCGCCACCAGAAGACTCAATGTTGCCGAGATCTCCGACGTGGCGGATGGTGGCATCTGGACCACCATGCTCCACCTTGCAGGGGTTGAAGTGCGCGCCCGCTGATGTGCATCCATTTGTGTTGTCACCAAATTCGTGAATGTGGAAGCCATGCTTGCCCTGAAAATAATGAGGTTCATAGTTTATTGTTAATCAATCCTTAGTCCCCAACCAAGTGTTACTGAACAAACTATTAATAGGTTTTTCATAAATTCTATTAGGTCTTTGATAATTCTGATCCTACATACATGAGACTTAGAAAATAATAGGGAAAAGTGCTTTAGAGATGTTTGTTACAACCTTATATTTGTTGATAAAAATATCTGTCTAATGAACAGTTATTAACAAATAGATTTTTCACAAAGTAAAACTTCTTAACACTACATATGATAAAGTAAACAGTAATAATAAAACTGTAAAAGTAGATAACTTATCAGAACATTTCTCAATTTAAACTGTCAAACACACTGACCGTAACCTATTGTTCTTTAATTGTGTCTATAATGATGTTACTCAATGGAGTTAACTGGATGTTAAAAGAAACATGTTTGTAGTTAATGATAACCAACATTATAAAGTTGATAACACACAACATACCTATTCACCTTGAACATGTAGCTACTTATACCTGTGTTTGTTAGTTATTGTCTATGTAAATTTTATGTGTGACCACTTCCTACAAATATCAAAGTTGCATCGTCATTTTGAATCATTCAATAAATTTTACATCACTGGAGTTGTGTAATAGATTATTTTATTTTCTAGATGTTTTGTTGTGATATCATAATGTATTGTAAGACTCAAAAACAGAGTTCTAGTTGGTTGTTTCGACAATGACTTCACTTTTTATACAAAAAATGAAAAATTGAATATAAGAGCACATTATGGATTGTTATTGTAGATGGTATTTGGTATTCTTTATCTAATCTATATAATAAATAAAAATGAATGCTTTTTTTCTCTTCATCACGTGTGAAAGGCTGGACCGATTTCACTAATTTGTTTTTTCATTGTATTTGTTATTATTAGGAAGTTTTTAAGACAAAATATCGTGAAAATCCTACAAGCCCCGGAGAAATAGAATTTCACATACAAAGTCATGGGCAAAAGCTAGTACGAGGTAAAAATAAGAGAGAACATGGTAGATTCTTAATTGACTATGTACTTCATCTATTAAATATTAGTTTACCCTTTTCATACATATATAAATGTCATGTTATACAGTTTACATCAAAAATTCAAGTTATGAGTTTTGTTATTGTATATCTATTAGTTTATTGATGTTTTAATTTTTTGGTATTTGTTATTTTTAGTTTTGTATTGTATTTTTATTTGTGTATTATATTTTATATGGGCCACAGTTGCCTGAAATAAATAAAGAAATAAAAAAAAATCTCTAAACATTGGAAATAAGGTCTATAATTTAGTTAGTGGAGAGCGGTCTCCGGTGACCGCTTGGGGATGTATGGGTTAAGTATATTTTATTTAACATTTAAAAGTGCCATCCTGGTCAGATTGAAATAAATTACTTTGACTGTATGGACATTTATTTATTTTAACATTTTTGATACACAAGTAAGTATGTATGATTTTATTGTAAGTACAGAGAGTATGTCAGCCTCATGAATAATTAATTTGTATTCATTATATACAAAAATGTTCTGTAAGTACATACCTTTGCAAGACCTTGAACTTCACCGGTCAGCACTACAGGCCCCTTGTCTTCCTGAAAAATATAAAATAATATAGTGAGATATTGATATTTTGATATACTTAGGTAGAGTAATTAGTAATTTTACTGATTTGGCTATATTTTTACTAGTTACAATTATTTACTTTTATGTTAATTTTGTGGTGAAACACCAATTTGATAATTAAATATTTAAAAAAAATAGTGCCATTAACTCCCAAGTTTGTCTTGATCTTTTTGTGGCAGGTATCTCAAAGATAACAACAATATTATCTTCTAAGAATATCTCACATTATCATCATGATTTTTAATTGCTTATGTCATGCTAATAATGCACAAACCTTATTGTACTATGTAACTCTAAAAATAGTTGTTTGACGACATTCTTCATAAAAAACATGTTTCTATCATTCCATGTTTAAGTAGGTACCCGGTACGCGATGTTCCAGAACCATCTTGTAAGAACGATAAGAATTTAATGTCTATAGATTGTAGGTAGGTAGCCACTTAGCATGTTACTCCATATTTTATACTTGAAATCAAACATGCTTACTGTCAATAAAGTATGTTTTCAAGGTTATATAATTATGCCACTCCTGTTGTAACTATATACGAAAAAATATCGAATAATTACCTGTTGGGCAAAGTAAATCGTTCCGCTAACGTCGCCCTTGAGAACACACACAGCTTTAGTTGGCATTTTCAAATTCGATTATAAAATAATTGGATCACAAGTATACTAGCAAAGCGTACACCTTAACGCTTTAATTTCTTCGTCAGTAATGATTTACTGCAGCGATAACACCGGAAAGATTTCTAATAAGAACGAAATGAATGAAGTAATGCGGTTGCGGTTGACAAGTCGAATCGCTGATGATGGCCAATAATTTGACGTTTTTCTAACTACATTCTTATTTTTACACATCTATGATCATCGATCGCGATTAAATTTTTATGAACGCACCATATTGTTGGTATTATGTTTTTATTTTAATATAATTATTATTGTACGTGTGTAATATTTATTTTACGTGTTGTGTTGTTACCACAAATTTTTGTAAGTTTAATTTACATACATACGACATATTTATGTAGTTTTAATTACACTACTCCACTTCGAGCAACAGAGAACTAAAAAGCCATCCGCAAAATTTCAAGTATTAGTTTACCAGCTTTTCTGTCTTCGGTCCACAGTACCTCTGAATTGGTCAGGAAAATTCTTTCTTCGTCACTGACCAGTTTTGAGGTGCCGTGTTTGACTGATGCAGTGGAAGCGTGGAAAATGGCTTGCCCACTTACGGATTTACCTGTTCATCCATCTTCTCAGAGACAGTGGGACGTGCCGCTGTGCAGTGTTATTCGTGAGTCTTTAATCAACTCGTCTCCTAATACTGCAGAGCGAGCTCGCTTATTGGCTGTGGGAGAATGGGAATCAGGATTGTGGCTTCAGGCACTCCCGTCACCCTTCATAGGTACTATGTTGGATGACATAACGTTCCGCCTAGCTGTATGCCTACGTTTAGGTGCTCCTTGTGTTTCTCCGCATTATTGTCACTGTGGAGAAAGAGTCGATGGCTTGGGACACCATGGTCTTTCTTGTTGCAGAAGTGCAGGCCGCATAGCTCGCCATGCCAGCATCAACGACATCATTCGTCGTGCTCTTGCCTCAGCCGGTGTACCAGCCGTATTAGAACCTAATGGTTTGGTACGTGATGACGGCAAAAGACCAGATGGTATGTCGTTGCTGCCTTGGAAGATGGGTAGGCCTTTGGTGTGGGACGCGACTTGTGTAGACACCCTTGCGCCATCACATCTTTTAAGCACCGCTGCATGCGTTGGTGCGGCTGCTTCCGCGGCAGAGGCCCTCAAACGGCGTAAATATTCAAATCTAGTGGGTAACTACTGTTTTGAGCCGTTTGGGGTCGAAACACTTGGGCCATGGGGTCCCAGTGCACACTCTGTGTTTAAAGACATCGCCCGTAGGCTAATCGACTCTACACGTGACCAGAGGGCTGGCTTTTTCTTCGGACAGAAAATAAGCATTGCCATTCAACGTGGCAATGCTGCCAGTCTTCTGGGAACTTTCCCCTGTGATAGTGATGCGGACGAATACTTTGACGCCTAAATTAAGGGTATAATTTTTGTTGTTTTCTTTTACTTTCTTTTTTATTTAATAGTTTAGTTGTAGTTAATTTTAAGTTGTAAATATTTATGTAGTTATATAAATTATGATATTTATATAATGAAACGAATTGATAAAATGAAATGATGAAACGAACGCCATTACTGAAACGCAAAACTTAAAAGACAAAACCCAGTCAAGAACAAAAGCCATGAGTTTGAAAATGGCTGTATAGACAGCCAACTCGCTTCGTTCTATTTCTCCAATCGTCATTTGTTACTTGTCTGTTGTCTGTGTCGCTTGTCATTGTCAGTTTTTCAGTTTATCTGTCATATCCTGTGTTTGTTGCGAAGCGTGCTATTTTTAATTTTATAAAAATAAAAATAAGAAAATACTAGCAATTGTTACATTTGTTACCTCTACAGACTTGTTTTACTTTTCTATTTGTAACTATGGAAAATATGAATTGTAATTTCGTCGCACCGACATGTACGAATGTAAGTAAATTGTGGCAAAACGTAACCATTATTTTAATTCTGACATAAATCAACAGTTTCGCTTTTTAATTTAAATTAATTGATATTGTGACCGACTAAATAATGTTAGCGTTATAAATAACGTAAAACTGTTAGTTTATCGTTTTCGCGGCTTTGTACACACGGCTACACATCGAGCTTTACATAACCAGTATAAACTGAACGTTAAATGTGCGGAAAGATGATGCGACGCGATACCAGGATAAACTGGTTTTGTATAGGTTGATATGTGGCCGTGTGTACCTGCGCATGCCTAATAGGTCTGAGTTTCACTACCTTCCAGCAAAACTTAGACCTTTTGTTGCCTGGCCAGCACAGTTGATTCTTCTTATGTCTAGGAAAAAAACAAAAAATACCTACTTTCCAAAAGCAGTATAACTAATGTGACATGCAAGACATGTCCCTAACTGGCTTAACTGGCTTCGTAAGTTAATGTAAACCTAATCATTTAGTTACCCATTAATTAGTTAATACATACTTAAATGTTATTAACTTATTATACATAATTTAATTGATTATATGGCTGATAGAGTAAATTTTCAACACAAATAATAGTTTTATTAAAACTTGATGTTAATATTAATTAAGTTTGTAATTAGGTGTATTATGTTACATAATGTACACAGAGAAGATTATTGTTTGTAAACACACTAGATTAAGAACATATTATAAAAGTTTTGTATGTCGTCGGTTAAATAGAAAAATGACGTTATTCAGAAAGTACAAATTTTACAGTATAAACGTTTGAAGTTTTTAATTTCATTAAAAACCGCAGATAATCAAAATGACACTTGCGACATCTGGTAAACTTGGCGTAAACTATTTAAAGTGTCGTTTTTACGTATAAAATAATCTTGTTAGTAGACTCGTTTTATGCAATAATCTTATTTTCCAAAAAATTTGAGAAATGCCATTTTTCCATTTAATCGACGATGTCTGTACAGACACAATGTGGCGCACTACCATAATATTATCTACCATCTATTGTAACATAACTACATTGATGAAATAAATAATATTTGTATTTAAATATATCGAGGGGTAACGGGCTATGGGCAGTGCCTTGCACTGCTCAACATAGTTGTAGTAGTAGTTAGTTCAGCACCTAAACAATACCCGAAACGAAAACTTACTCCTAGAAAAGTGATGGTCACTGATGGTCTAGCGCCAGTCTGATTCATCACAGGTTCTTACCAAACGGAGTGAGCATTACTGCGGATGTGTAATGTGAAGAACTGAACACAATGATGGAGAAGCTGACACATCTCCAACCAGCACTGGTCAATCGCTCATCTCCATTGCTCCTGCATTACAACGCGCGACCTAAAGCTGCACAACAGATGGTCTCCAAGTTACAAGAACTGGGGTTGGAAGCTCTCCAATATCCACCCTACTCACCAGACTACTTCTTTTCCAGAATTTGAATAACTTCTTCGCGGGAAAAAAATTCATTACCCGAGAGGCAGTACAAAATGCATTTAAAGAATTTGTTGCCACCCGTCCAGCTGATTTGTTTAAGAAGTATTTTGTGGCAGTTTATTGATGCCCAATAAACTGCCACTGCGTTGGCAACGATGCATTGATTACATGGGTGATTACTTCGATAAATACAAATAAAAAATACATGAAAAAAATCGTTTAAATTTTTTCATACAAAACGGCAATTTCAGTAAATAACCCATTAATTTATCTGATTTTGCTGAATAAATAATAATATAATCGTTGTTCCTATGGAGACTGTTATTATTAATCTAAATAAATACTTTGATATTGTGTTGTGTTTATTTATCCGATGTAAGCACCTGCGATTTTCGGTTGTTGCGATATATCCAGGTTGTTTTATCAGCCATTAATCGTCTTAGATGTAAATAAACATAAACATTTAACGATACAATTTCAATGTTATATGTCACATAAGTAAATTAGCCTGTTACTCATTTTAGTCTAAATTGGTAGTTGAGATAAATAGCTTGCTTCTATTTATTTTGGGTTTCGTTACTTCATACTTTTTGGCTTACTCTGTAAATAGAGTGCATCGTCGCTTAATTTTTTTCCCTTGTAGCCAATTGTAGTTATGAAGTCACTTAAATCATTTTTCCTGACTCTAAAAAAGGGCAGATTGTATTAAGCGACATTTATATTTGTAATTAAAGGTCCGCTTTATTTGGTATTAGCATCAGCAACTAGATATTTTTATTTAAATTTCAATGCAATTTACCCCGGTCAAATATCTGCAGAAGCGTTTTTGTTATGAATTTTTTTTCGAAATTTCAAACTTTAAAAGGCTCTCCTGTAAAGTTGCAAAAATGTCGCTTAAACCAAATAGCCCGTTAGCCCTCGATATCATCTTATCTAATTGCCTTGTTTGTTAACTATCAGTCACTACATTGTGGGATAATGGAAATGCGCACACAAGAAATCACCATGATTATGTGCTAACAATATTTAATTTTTATTTTTTACATTCCAGGTTCCGGCTGAAATTGCTCAAAATAGTACCATATTAGAGGAGGGACCAAGGGTAAATATTTTTGTCTAATATTGAAGTATGTGTGCACCTATGCATCATTATGGCATCCTATCAGCCACAGGACGCCAACTGCTGAACACAGGCCTCCCCCAATGACTTCCAGATAGGCCAATTGGGAGCAACCTGCATCTAGCGGCTCCCTGCAACCTTGACCGGGTTGTCTGTCCACCTTGCGGATGGATGTCCTACGCTGATCTTGCCAGTACGTGGCCTCCATCCGAAAATCTTTCTGCCCCGGCGGCCGTCGGTTCTCCGCGCTGTGTGCCCTGCCCACTGCCACTTCAACTTGCTAATCCGCTGGGCTATGTCGGCGACCCTTGTTCGTTTGCGGATTTCCTCGTTTTTTATCCGATCTCATAAAGAGACCCCGAGCATAGCTCTTTCCATAGCGCGCTGAGCGACTTTGAGCTTCTTTATAAGGCCCACAGTAAGAGACCACGTTTCAGTTCCATTCCAGTTCCAGAAAAAGGAGTTCATCACAAAGAGGTCCTCCTTCTCCAAGAATTCAGCCAGCCTGTCCCTATAGTTCCGTTGCCCATATCCAAAAACCCCACTTTCAGCTCGTTATCGCCTCAAGTTTTGCGCTGAAGTCCCCCATAACAACACTAAAGTTGGTTTTATTGGTATGTATGGCCCTACTAATGTCCTCATACATAATCTCCACTTCCTCATCTGGGTGTGTCGAAGTCGGTGCAGAAACCTGGGTGACCTTCAACGAGTATCTGTTGGATACTCTGAGTATCAGATACGCCACCCTGCTCGACGCACTTCCGATGGTAACAATGTTGCTGACGAGGGACTTGTGGACGAGAAACCCGACACCACCTTGGGACAGTTGGTCGCCCTCTTAGTAGAATAGGTTGCCGGATCTTAGGGTTATCGTGTCCTCGCAGTCGCGGGGAACCTAACGGGTAACCGGGGCTCCGGCTCGACGTGCAGGAGAAGGAACGGGGTGATTTTAGTCAGTAAGAGTCTGACACTCCCTCCCGCCGCACCCAGGCGGGAGCAGTCATTCGATGATTCTCCCCTCCTAAAAAAAAAATCGTGTCCTCTCCCTCTCGTCGAACTTCTGACAACCCCACAATACTCCAGTGCAACCTACCCAATTCCTCTTCCAGCTCAACAATCTTCTCGTCTCACTCCTCAAAGTGCAAACATTGTGTTACTAGGGCTAGTCGTCGTCGGGGGCGTTTTCTCCACCTCCGGGAATTCTTAGCACCCGACGTTATCCTAACCGCTACCACGGTAGCCAGGAACTGATGGGGGCTGATGTGTTTCCTTTAGAAAAATTCCCTATATTTATAATATAAAGATTTAAAAAAATATTATACAGGATGTCCAGTAAAAAGTGAACCATACTGTGAGGGGTGATAGCGGTGGTTAAGCAAAATTTAACAATTTAAAAATTGTACCACATTTTTGCAAATATCGATAAAACACAACTTTGACACACATCTTGTAGCATATCTCAATGAAAAAATCTTTTTTTAAATAAGTTTTATACATCAAATTATTTGTGGATAAATACTCCATTTATTAATAGGTTCTTTTATATCAGGAATAAGATAGGTTTTAGGAAATATTACTTCGTGTGTAAGTTTTCGTAGAACAATTTTCTTGCTACCTCTTTTAATTGTGATACTACTTTTGGTGAATTGTAAAAAAATCAGAGGCAGAGAGCGCCGAACGGGTACTCGTTTCGAATACTTTAAACGCAAATCAATCTCGTACTAAGGCCTATGATGTTATAATTACGATGCGACATTATGATATATAATTTTCACCTACACGCCGATTGACGGAAACACGATACAACTCTCTCGTTAAAAAAAATTTACCTGGTCTATTCATGAACAAATTGAAGCCGGCGATGAAAATACCCCATAAATTCAGTTCTGAAATGAACTACAACGGTGACGAATAACGATGCTCTAATCTAGAAGTACCCACACTATCCATTTCATGCATTACCCGTACAAACTTTTTTATACACCTGTGCACAAATGTCTAATATAATCCTTTTCTATGTTTCAGATTTGTCCTCTATGCAACGCACCTGTGAGACTGTACTATGTGCACTACACGTCTAAACTATTTATGTGTGAAAACATCGAGTGCGAGTATCCATTTGGTGGTGACTTTACAGTCTACTCCAGCGATGATGATGATTACTTCTTGTCAGAGTTTGACACTGCCAGTTTTAAGCGTAAGAGGGGCAGTAACGCTACACAGTCTATAGCGCAGACAATAAATGGTACTTCAACTGTCGGGACTAATTCAGAACTGTCAACCTCAGAATGGTCCGATATAAACAGATTAAACCAAGCCTATGATTCAGATGAAAGCACGACGCTATCAAAAATATTTACCAGAAAATCGAATAAACGTAAGACCGATAAGAAAGTGAAAAAACAAGAGAATGAAGAACAGATTAAACAGAATGTTGAAAAGATAAAGGAACTGAATAAAGTATTGTTTGAAAACGATGATGATATAGAAATAATACGTAATGAGAAATGGATTAAGAATTTATCCACAATGCAGTCTTCCACCGGAGGTAAGTTGGTTAAGGAACAAGAACTACTGAAATTAAAAAAGCTTGAACAAAAGCGTGTTCAAGAATTAAAAATTGACATTGAAGCGTCAACAGATTCCATGTCTTGTATCAAAATTGAAATTGGTGGTTTGGGAACAAGCAGTAAAACTTAAACATTGTTTTGATTGTGTTGTTTTGATACATTAAAATATATTTTTTTTTTATAAGGTACGGTACATACCGAAGTATGTCTTGTTTGAAAGATGTATCCTGATTATTTGTTAATGATCTTTTGCATAGTCAGGTTGGGATTCTAATATTTTAGTACAAATTATACTATTTGTGCTTCTTTGAATAGGAGTATTGAAATTTGGTCTGCTGTGCAAAAAGCTGTGACAATACACAAAGGTACCATTGTTTTTCTAATATTAGTTTATATTATGTAACTGAACAGGGAACATGTATGTAGTATGTATGTCATACGTAATAGGGGTAATAATTAAAAGAATTAATATGAATGATTATATTGTTTTGTCCATCCATCAAAAACTATTTATTGTGATAGGTGTTACCTGTGTTGTGAAAGTTAAAATTATAATGTGATTTTTGAGTTATATCTGGTTTTCATTTAAAGTTCCTTCACCCTGTAATATAAATATGAACCTCATTGCGTATCTGCGGGGTTATTATGACGCCATAAAGTCAGAATGGTTCCATTGAGGGAAAGAAACGGAGCTATACAAGTCGTCCAGCGTGATCTCGTTCCCTCAACGGAACCAATCTGGCTTTAAGACGTCATAATGCGCCATCAGAAATGTTTGCGACCATTTAACTAACGACTGATGTTTTAGTTATGAGTAACGGGGATACAACTTTACAAACCTATTATTTAACCTATAATTCATTATCATCATCATCAACAGCTGCAAGACGTCCTCTGCTGGGCAAAGGCCTCCCTCTTATTCCTCCACGCCTAACATAATCATTTATTGGGTACAATTCCTAGACTTAAAAATATTACCGGGAATTGTAAAAAACTGAAACCTGCAATCTTTACCTAAACCGAACCCGAATAATCGTGTTCAATCGTTGTGAGTCCGATCTCTCGACTAAAGCAATCGAGATTAATATTACGTAAAACTGTGGAGAAATTGTTTTTTAATATTTTTGTTCAGAAAAACAAACTATTTTGATGTAGCCATTTAATAAAGTTATGTTTTTTTATGGGATAAGCCGGTAAACAAGCATACGTGACCTGATGGTAAGCAATTGGCGCCGCCCATGTACTTCTGAAACACCAGAGGCCTTACCGGCCTTTTGGGAATTGGGGACTGGACTGGGGAGGGCGGTAATTGGGCCTTCGATAACTTCACTCATACGACGAAACACAACGCAAGCGTTGTTTCACGTCGGTTTTCTGTGAGGCCGTGGTATCGCTCCGGTTGAGCCGGCTCATTCGTGCCGAAGCATGGCTCTCACACACTTTTATGTAGGTAAGAGACACTTACACACGAGCGGCATGTTGCAAAATGAAAATGACCGAGGTAACTGCAGCCATCGACGCGCATCAACGGCAGCCGTCGACAATTCGACGGTCATACGACGTCAGACGACATACAGGTCGACCGCGCTGCTGTCGACGCTTCAGCGGTTGCCGCCGACACGTCTCGACGTGTGTAAAACCTCTTAGGTAAGCTAGACCTGAGGATATTCTAGCTAGGGCGCCGAGTCACGTTGCGAGTGAAAGCTAATGCGGTCGCCGGCTCATATGTCTGGAAATTAACTTGATAACGTATTGCCCTTCGCTTGCGCTGGCTGGTGTTAAGGGAATTCATGTCAGAGCCTTCTTGATGAGGTGGTTAGTTAATAGTGAGATATAAATGGGCGAGAGCTAGGTCGGGTTAGGTCTAATTTGAAGAATAAACAGATAAATGAACACCAACCTACCTACATATCAGTTGTACTGGTAGGTACCTACTATCTGAAGTTATTATCTACCCGGAGATGCTCTCGCTACTTCTCCGGTGTTGTGTATATTCTTGGGTGGCGATGATGGCTTACCATCAGGTGGTCTGCATCTATTTCATAAAAAAGCTACTCTCCAGTTGAATTGAACTACGACCCGTAGCTAATTAATTAGGTACCAAGGTATATTGCACTTTCACAATTGCGATGTGGATGATCAACTTAATTCTACCCAGCTTACCTAACTAGGCAGGCACATCAGGAGGGAAGGCACTTGAGTTTATGGTGTGGCAGGACGTTTTCCTAGGAGCTTGAACTTGACTTTCCCTAATGGACGCCGTCCAACGGGTAGAGGTCTCACTACGACGAATGTTTATGCCATTTATTTACAATCGAAAATGAAATCGATGGACTACTCTAGTGCAACATACGAGGGCCAAGGCAGTTGTTTTTAAACGAACGATTACACTATGTTATATATATATCTACTTATATAGTTTTTAAAGAAAGTGTAATTATCTACTAACCTACATACCTGTGTATGAATACCTAATCAAAATAAACCTTCTGTAAGATAACGGTAAGATACGTTTAATAGGTGGTAACCTAAGTATTCAAGAAGTATGCAAGTTTCAGAAGGAAATAAAAGCTTTGCACAGTAAGCACTTAGTATACCTGTTCCAAACGCAAACCTAATCATATATTAGATGTTGTCTTATAAATTACATTCCTCATGTTTCTTCACATCCAATAAAATTAAAACAAGATTCGTCGTATTGAATCTGCACACGACGCGGCGCCGCCACCGGCCCGTTCCGAGCTTATATAGGAAGCTGGAGCTGTGCTCTCATCTTACTTTCATTGCCATCGCCAGTGCGCAGGGATGCCAGTCACATAGTGCCAATGCAGTGATACAGTGTCGTGTTATTAAGGTACGTGCCGTTTTTAAAAATGAAGTTATACTTTTTCAGTTTTATTTTCGGTTTACCAAAATTACTTAATTAGCATGCAGGTTGGAATGGTGCCCAGAGGCTGACAAAATAAACTCACCCTCTTAATTTTCGAAACGTAGGTGTTTTACTGTATCCAAATTTGCTTATAGGGTAGATCCACCCAGGTACCCTCTTTTTGAATCAAGTTCAAAATTCAAATCGATTTCCCCTATTTGGTTAATAATTTTTACCAAGAGAAGCAGGGAAAATAGCTTGACATGTGAATGGACAACGTGTCCAAGATGATTTATGTGTGTTTTTGCTGGAGGTACTAGGTGGTAGTGTTTTCTAAGAAAAGCTGCGGAAGTTACAACCGGACACTGAACGAGTTGGAACCTGATACGTATCGATAATTAATACTAAAGCAGGATGTTATAGTAATGTGGTTTCTTCTCGCTTTTCCCTTTTCTATTTACTTTGATAATATTGTAAGTGTGTACCTAAGAGTAAGAACCATATCTAAATACAGGCCCGGGTCATTCTTAATGACCCTAATTGTGCAAAAATTGGGATCTGGGGAAGATATAACAGTATCATGCAGTAGGGTAGGCAGAGGTGCAGATGTGTTATGTCAGTACATGTGTTGTCAATCAACTTGATTACAAATTCACAATACACCGTTGATCAACTTACCTACATACAACATTTACTACATCAGATACTGTTGACAAATCATTGTCCATGTTCAGATGCAGTGGTTAGCGACGTGTACCCTGCTGACCGCGCTCGTCAACGGTGGGGGTGGAGTTACTAAGACTTCTGGTGAGTAAACAAGTGCGTTACAGTTTTCTTCCTAAAAATATTAAGATCGACAACAACCAACTAACTCTCTTTTAGGGTCTAATAAGGATTAGACAGGGAATAATAAGGATTTAAAGCTCACGTTATTAGGATTTTAACAGCTTATACGACTTTGAACCCTCGTTGGGATTGATTTCGAACATAATTCCAAAGACAAGAAACCTTTTCATTCAATCTCTTATTACAAAAACTGTAGTTTCTATTCACTGCCATTAGTTATATAAATATCGCCCTACATTTTCTAGGGCTTTCTCCAATGTCGTTCGTACAAGTACTTGTAGATCACGCAAGTTCATAATTTTTGAATACATGCGGTAATTAAATCTAAGACACGCATTGTAACGAGAACAACACGTGACAACTTGTGGTTTTGTAGGGACAATATTGGTACCTATGTGAGCCAGTCGTCAATTAATATCCTCCCGAATTCAAGATGATTTCCTTCATCATATGCCAATGATTTCAAAATAAACTTAAAAAGTACCTACCTATATGTAACTTAGGCAAGCTCACATGGTACTTTCCAGGTTTCGAACCTTCGCGCTCCGGGCCACCGTTACGCCTATTCGGTTACGTATGAAGTATTTATTTTCACGTCTACCATTGTCTCATAAATCTACAAACAATTACAACTTACAATAATTGATAAACTATACTAAAACTACCAGTTAGATTAGAAAAAGATACCATTCGTCGTTAGTACCCATTCGCAAGGAAAGTTGGAAAAGACCTGACTAATATCCAGTTTCTACATTAAATTATACAACGAATGTACATAACTGCAAACTGCAAACAGCTGGCAAGAACTGGTCTTTTAACTCCCCAGCATAACAAGTGCACTTGCATGACTTCTAAACCACACCATCTGTCTCTTTTCAGCCATGAAACGTGATTTAATAATAATTTGAAATTATATTAACGGATGTAAAAAACAATTACTTGGTCGGCAGAGCGCCCTAAGTACTTAGGAACTCCCTTTCTCTCTGCGATATTAAATAACAAATTGCTTGCAATTAAAGTACGGAACAGTCACGATGCTGAGATTTAAGAGGTCTTAAGTATTGTATGGATACTCCGATTGTCATCAATCGTATCATTATAGTTCTAAATCTGTTTCTTTCATCAATATAAGGCTTGCAATATCTTAACAACATACTAAAGACATTCGATTTCCTATAATAGAGATTAGGGTTTATTTCGTCTTTTAGACTTAGAAGATGATAAGGACTATTTTCTATTTTTCATGGACAGTGGCTCCATTAGGACTCGAAACGGACCGTTGGCGGTGAGGTAGTTTTTAGTGACGACATAGATGTAGGATTTAACTCTGACACTCTACTCTAGCAAAAAGGATTATAATCGTTTACGCTTATGTAATGAAACAAATGTGACAGCATAATCCAACATTGCAACTCAACTGCTTAAGATCAATTTCACGATTTCTTTGGCGAGTTTCTTTTCACCAAATAATTAATCATGTAACTTACATGAGTCGGCGGATATTGTGTATACTTTACTTTTGTATGTGATATGTTCGAAAGTTACGTATTACGTATGTATGGAACAGTTTAATGTCATTTCGTTTCTCTTGTGTTGTCGTGTGTTGTCGCGATGTACCGGTTGTGAAGCGTCACTGTTGTTTTATCTCACCTCCAGCTGCAAGATCACAGTTCAATGCAACTTTCTATAGTTATAGATACAGCGGGTGGATGAAGGTTAACCATCTTCCCTTCAGTATACCTAATATCTAATTACAAACTGATATCAGTTTGTCTTACTGCCTAAGAACTGATGTCAGTGTAAGTTAGGTACTTATGTAGGTACAAAAGTAGATACAAACTATCTTCAAGTTCAATAATGTACAACAACGCTTCATAAATTTGTTTTTCTTACAGGCATCGAGCAATTTTGGACAGACGACTACAAAATATTCGAGCAAGTTTACGGCAAAACTTCAGACAAAGACATCTATGGGGAATCACTGCCACCGAGTATTGTCATAGGCACAGACCATAAGAAAGAATCCTCGCATAAGAATGAACGGTATCTTCTGAATCTGGATCATGATTCTGATGAACAAGACCCTTATGACTTTGGAGACCGTTACAACAACCTGTTAAGCAAACAAACGTTGAAACTGTTGAGTAAGAAAAAACCAGCGACATCGTCAATAAACTTCGTGAGCTACTCGAATTTCAAGCCAATAAGTGAAAGTAGTGATCCAGAGACCTACAACTATTTGAAGCACTTGGAAGAGCTGAACAACGAGGAGAAATTCAGCTATCCACCGACAATGGGAGGATTTAAGCCTTATATGAGTTATTTAGGGCCAAAGCCGGAGGAAACCGAAGCTTATAAGAGTATACAGGAGATTTTGGAAGCTCACGAAGCTAATAAAGGCAGCAGTCATAAAGACGATGATGATGGTCGTGAAGAGATGAAGTATCTTACTTACCCAAAGAGTAAGAAGAAGAAACCGCCGCGGGTGCACAATGAGGTGTCCAAACCTAGATGTGTCACAGGTAGGTGTCGCAAGCGAGGTGCAGGACCATACCGTTCGAGAAGTAGGCCACATGTTAGAGGAGTAAAGAAAACAGTATTTCTTGTTTAAGTAATTCTTTGTTGTTGTTTAGTTTTAGGACAAACATGTGATTTGGAATCTGTTTGTGGGTTTTGTTTTTGATGTTATTCGAGTAGTTGTTGTTTATGTTAGTAATTTAGCAGTTCACATTATCATCATATACTTCATTTTCTTTAGCCCACCATTTAATTATATCAAACATATAGGTTGCAACACTATTATAAGCTTGAGTACCTGTTGCTTGTCTGTTACAAATGTGAGTTAACTTTTCTATTTAAAGTAACAAATTACTTCTCTATTAGCGTTAACAACTTTCAAACTAATATTTTGCTATCAAACAGCAGTTTCATCTTCCGCTATTGTTTAATATTATTAATGTGTTATGTTATCTAATATTATGTATACGAAAGTAAGTGTTGAGTTTGTTAAATTGTTGTTGTCAGTATACGTTACAATCGTTACATAAGTTTAGCAGTTAGTTATAGAGGTAATATTATTAACTAAATCTAAGTAATTTATGTTATTTAACATTTAAAAATAAACATGCATCATTACTGGAATAAAACACGAATTAGCTTTTAACGTATTTTTAATACTTAGGTACTTAATTATTCTTACAATAAGTTAAGTAATCCTTATCGTCCTAATTTCAAATTAAAATTAGTAGAAAGATTACTGCATTTTCACTCATACGCCTAAAAAGGCTTTTAATTATGTAAAGTACCAGTGGCCTTGCCCTATGACCTGAGTTACCCGTATAGGCATAGAGAACCAGAGAGAAGACAGCACAAGGTTAGGCAAAGATGAAATTACCTTGTAAATAAACAACAGCTATGCGTCCTCTGCCGCTGCTTACATAGAAGATAATTTCGAAAAGAAAATATAAGAATACAAAAGAATAGATTTAATAATAAATCATGCAAAATCAATAGAAGAAGTAAAAAAATATAAAATTACATTAATAAAAATATTATAATGTATGCTTGATTACAAGCGCTTGATCATGATGCTGAATATGGTTCAGCGACTCATTTCTTTCGAGGTTTTTTTTATTCAAGACAACCATTACGGACTAGGAGCTTGCATTTTCAACTCACATGGAAGCATTCTCCAAATTGTCCTTGTCAACAACCTTTACACTTGCACTTTGAGTAAAGGTGCCTATAGGCTGAAGTAGAAAGATTTTGTACAAGTTCAGTATTAGCGATGATGCCCAGAGTTGAAGTAGCATTGTTAGTTGTCACATCGTTGTCAGTATACTGCAATTTTGAAGCAACCATTCAATCTACATCATTTACATTATGATAAAAATTGTAAGTTGCTTTCTATAAAATGTTGACGTATCTTTACAGTTCTTCATCCAACCCTGAACATCATCACAAAGTGGTGTTACAACAGAAGTTAGTACATGAAGTTAGGGTTAGTTTCACTCTGCCTGCCATTGGCTACTGGATTGGCAAGGTTTCTGGTCTTCTTTTTAGTTTCCTCGATGCTCTGCAGCAGGAATGGCGGTGGATTATTGGGCCGCTGCTGCCTGCTGTCCAGCTCTCGTGTCAGTTCATCCACGAAATTGGTTTGTGCTGAACTGACTCTGTCATCGTACATGCTGCTGGGCGTTTGTCTGTCTACGAACTGCCCACCCGTCTGCCTGGAAAAATAAGGGGATTAGCGAGAGTATTTTGTTAAGGATTCTTTTTGGTGATCAATTGGGTCATTGAAGTGACTGGTGAATTGATTGTGAAGATTGCAAACGCTTAAATATACTTTGGTCACTACAAAAAGACCTATGCTCAGCAGTCGGACTTGTGTCCACTCAACAAACAAGTCAGTCAGTTAATCATCTATCTTTTGGAAATAAGACGAGTGAATAATTTGTGTGAGGTAATAAAATTCGTAATAGTGTGATGCATCAACCAACAAAACAAACTATAGAAACAAGAACACCTCGGTACATAGTATTAACGAAAGAATTTAATCTTTATGACTAATTTAGTCGGATCTGTAATGACGCATTACTAGGAACTAAAAATAAAGCGATAATCATAATGAAAGCAGGTGTTGTTGAGTACCTGAGGATAAATGATTACAAACAGTTTCAGATAACATTAAAATTGTAAACAATGCTCTAATAACCGAAGTCAATACAAATTGAGATCAGTAGGACATCAATGTTCTTGGAAAACGAAGACTTCTACAATCTGAAGTTATGTAAACTTTTTTTTTTTTATGGCATAAGCCGGTAAACGAGCAGACGGATCGCCTGATGGTAAGCAATCGGCGTCGCTCATGGACATTTGGAACACCAGAGGCGATACAAGTGCGTTACCGGGCCTTTTGGGGATTAGGAGTTTGAGGGTCGATGGGGATTCAGGAATTGGGGAGATTGGGGAAGGGGAGGGTAATTGGGCCTCCGGTAACCTCACTCACACGATGAATCACAACGCAAGCGTTGCTTCACGTCGGTTTTCTGTGAGGCCGTGGTATCACTCCGGTCGAGCCGGCCCATTCGTGCCGAAGCATGGCTCTTCCACACTTAAACTGTAATGAAGTACCTTTCTGCCGACATTAGGTATGTGAAAATATACTACAAAATAAAAATTTCTTGTGTTTCAAGTTTGCGTGATTGATGAATGCCTTGTTCAAGTTCGAGTTTAAGCCTAAGAAAATGTCTGGGGGATCTGCTATTGCAAATGCTAATTGCTATTAAGAAAATATTAGCTATTTCTAATATATATTTTTTTTGTAATTGTGAGTTATAATCATAATAAGTTATTGTTTATGTAACGCACAGATTTATTTCCTAAATGTGGATTGTATTTTGTTGTGTAGATTTCGGATGGTCGGGTGTCTATGTCTTACCTTCTGTTATAGAGGACCTATCTCTTAACTTACAACATACATGACTGTACTTATGTCTTCTATAACATCTTGCGTGCGTTCTGTATGTAATACTCATTTTTAACAAATAAAACGATCTTTATCTTTCCAATGTATCAAAACGTATGGTCACTGTATCACGTACCGCTCATGTCGGCCGCTCTCCACGTCATCCTGGCTGGTGTACATGGAGTAGCCGCGCCGGGACAGCTCCTCATCAGGCGACAGCGCGGGGTTGTGGAACGCGTGGTTCTTGTCGCTGTCCATCTTCAGCTTCCTGGAATTTAGTATGTTTGGTATGAGTGACAAAAGTCTACCGTAGACTCTTAACGCAATGGTAATGTTTACATTCATTTGACGGCCACACTTTGTAATCTAAGAAAATAGAGAAATAAATATATCAATAAAGTTCCTTTGGTTAACGTGTCTATGTAGTACCTATTTCTATTATTGTGTAGTTTTGCCCCACGATCATGTAACCGCATTCCTACGTGGTACACTTATATGAATGCTTAAAACTTCTACATACTGTATCCTCATGCGTCCAGTGGCTTGCATCTCAGCGACCTTCTTCCGGAGGCTGCTGACTTGAGCGCAGAGCACTATAGCCATGATGAACAGCACCAAGCAGGCACCACCGAACACGCTCGCTATCACTATTACCTGGGTCTCGACATCCTATACAAAAGAAAGAAATAAATAATTGCTATATTACATTCTAGCAAAAAGTCGTTCATCGTCATCATTTCTAAAGCTAGTAATACTAATAGCAACATAGACATTTTCGAAAGATTCCAAAGTACATATTAAATACATTGAGAGCTATGCTAAACATCCCCTAAAACGTGAGCAATAAATATATACACGAGGATCTAAAGTTTGCCTCCGTCAAACAAGACATCGCTAAATACAGCGAGAGCGAGAGACGAGAATATCAACTCATGTCGATGAGTTGGCATCAAAAGTTCCAAATTAGTTGGTACGGGAAATATCTCACACTCCAGGTTGAAACAGCATAGAGTCTCTTCACTTATCCTGTAAGATTTGGTGATTCCAGATGAAAGGGATTCACAAGATATTTCTTCTGCTGCTGACAAGACAAAAATCAAGACACCCTATCTGAATGGCTTATTGTGTTGACATAGATTGCCAAGTTGCAGAAATCAATATAGAAAAAAACATTATATCTCCTCCGAAGAATGATAATGAAAGAAATAGTTTGTAATAGGACGATACCCGACAGAGGAAAATAGAAGAAAAAGACATATCGTGTCGACCCCAAGTACCTTAGGATAAAGGCAGAAGAAGAAGAATTATAATAAATCTTAATTAAGTAATTATAATAAAATTCGAATACAATTATGTCAGATAAAGAGGAAACTTTAGGATTAACGTTGGTCATTAAGAATTCAAAACCAGTGATTTTATTTCTTAATTCCGATAATCCATTTTTAATCCTTTTTAAGGTCCTGAAGGGATTAGCCGAGTTTCAAGGTAACACCCGGTTTTCACCAGTTTTTATGTTGTCATGTTACCGTTTTAAAAAAAACACTTGTCTGAAAATTTAATTAAAATCGGTTAAACCAATTGCGATATAATAGCGGACAAACATATAACAGAAGCATTTCTAACAACTGACAAAAGTGACATCTATTTTTAGGGTCGGTTTAAAGATTCAGTTTTTGAAATTGTCAGTTACGGCACGGGCACTGAAGTACACCAACTATTATAGGGAATTTACATAAAAACTGGTGAAAATTTATTTCACATTTACATAGGTAACATAATAATACCTCTATATCTATTTATGTTAATTCAATTCTAATTTTACAGGCTATACGTCAAAGATTGCAGTAAGTGCACTTATTTGAAAAATACTAGTTCATTTTTTTCCTTCTTTGGCTATAGAATACTAATTCTTAAAATAGTTTAGAATACGCAAATAATAAACACAATTCCTAAACTACATTATTATTACTTACGCTATCGTCATAACATTAAAATTCCACGAAAAAAGATAAAATTACGCATAATTAGTGAATTCATTCTTTATAATCACTTCACTTCACAAATAACTATAATAATCTTACCATATTAAAGATTGCTTCAAAAAGAATCAAGCATTTTCCAATAAATAAACACACAACGCTTCAAGCGGAACATACAATTCAGAACTAATTAACAAGACTGACAGCAAAGAAATAAAAATGGAGGTAGATAAAGAAAACGACGTAAATGATTACGAGTCTTTTGATAAAATTATTGTGAATTTACGAAATAAAAATGTCGTTGACATCATTAAGAATTAAATACAGGCAGTGTTCAATTTAGAAAGCATATTGGTGTATTTTGATAAGGGATTAGGATTCGAATATCTGATCCGGAAGAAATGTTATTATTGAAATATTATTACAATCGAAAAAGTTGGCGATCGACCATCATTAGGCTTGTACTCGGTGCGAGCGACCACAGGGAAGACAGGGCGGTGGATAGCGAGTTAGCCACAGGGTTTAATTTAAAAATTATACCCGTTAACTTTGTCGATAGTATTTATTTATTTTATTTATATATACTTTATTGCACACATAGAAAAATTGTAAGCATTTACTCATTACGCATAGTACTAAGGTGCGCAGAAATACTGGGGAAGTGTGGGAGAGCCATGCTTCGCTACGAATGGGCCGGTTCGACCGGAGTAATACCAAATCCTCACAGAAAACCGACGTGAAATAACGCTTGCGTTGTGTTACGTCGTGTGAGTTGGACCTTCTCTTTAAATTTACCTAAAGTAGTTAATAATTAATAATTCAAATTATAACTTGCTAACTATAAGTAACAACAGTTGTAAAATAACAAGTGTAAAAGTGCAAGTGAACCAAGATTAACCGCCATAAATTGAAAATAAACAAACAAAAAGTGTATTGACCTTCTATTTTAATTTGCAAACAAGAACTCTATAAACCAACCACTAATTTCGTCAAAGTTCCATTAGTACGAATGGCTGGACGCGCATTTCAAGCATTTTTGGTCATAGGACGGGATGGCGTGGGATCGAATCTCAGAGAGGACCTGCTCTTTTTGTACGTTTTTTTAAATAATTTATTTGAACAGTATTAGTATTGTTTCTTCATAAATAGTAATCACTGGAACACGTTACATCTGAGTTTGTGGAAATAAAGCTAAGTAAAATATTACAAAAACGACCAAGAGATGGCGTCACTAGTACGATGTCACAAATGTAAAAAGATGGTGAATGTGAAGAATACTGCATTGTGTTCTGCCTGCCATAATCGATATGAACTAAATTGTGATGGTTACCCCGAATCAACCTATAAGCTTAAAGACGCTGAAGGTAAGAAAAAGTGGAGATGTACGGCTTGCGTACGAAACCAGAAACATGGTAAACCTGAAGCAGGAGGTGTCTGTACAACCAATATGACCTTACGTAAGAAGCCGACGTTAAAAATTACTTCGCCAACCGAACCTAATACAAAGGTGCGACCACAATCAGCACCAAAAAGACTGGCTCCATCATTGCTTGACTCACATGTGCTCACCGACTGTGAAACATCAGATGAGTCCTATAATACTCCTAACAAACTATCGAGAAGTGTAGACCCCGACGGGACAATCTCAGATTTAGTATCAATCTCTGATATGAAGGAGACAGTAAATCAGCTCACAAGTAAACTTCATAGTACGGAAAAAGAACTAGAAACTATTTCGTTAGAAAACAGTGAGCTGCATAAACAAATAAACAAACTAACTATAGAAATTACTACATTAAAATCCTTATGCCATTCTCCCTCCTTACATGAAAGTCCTGGTATAAGCAGCAACAATAAGAAGAAGCATGTTTTCCCACAGCAAAACATGTGTTCAACTCCGGCTACTCCGGCTTCTCCATCATCATTACTAAACAGCACCAAAACGAACGACAACGAAATAATATCAATTTTGAAATTGAATATTACAACCCTGCAACAGCAACTGGAGGCCGCCCAGAAGGAGATTGCTGCTCTCACAAATCGTATCGGCTTAGTAGCACAATGGAATCACACAATTCGTAATTGTGATACTTCTACTCGTAAACTACAACAGCACTCGGTGAATACTAATGACCAACGAAATGTTACCTCCGACAAGACCATATTTATTGTCGGTACTCAGCGCTGTGTCGGGCTTGCTGCTGCAATGTCACACTCTCGTACGTCTACGCAGTATGAGAGATACAGAGTTGTAGGCGAAACAAAGCCTAATGCATTGTGTAACGAAATAGTAACTAGTTGTGATAATCTTAAGTTAAATTCTAATGATAAACTTGTAATTTGTTTAGGTGAAAATGATTGTAACCCAAAATTAATTCTCTCTCAATTACACATAATATTAGATAAGTTCAAAAATAACAGTATATATGTCCTCAATGTCCTAAAAAACATACATTTAAACACTGACAAATTAAATTTTTCAATTAAAAATTTATGTCATCAATATAAACAATGTAGGTTTGTATATGAAAAATGTATTAATCTACCCGATATTTGTAAAAGGTTGAATTATCTTATAGATTGCAACGATTATAATGATAAATATCTAAACCCTACTAAAATTAAAGACATAATATGTGCTAATAGTAACAAACCAAGTCTAAAATTAAACACTGGCACAAGCCAGATTAAAAAAGGAACTATTCCTTATTATTTCCGCGTCTTAGAACATTCGACTATTTTGAAATGTAGTCCCGTAAAACAACCTACTACTAAGAACCAAAAAGGAACAATACCCTGTTATTTTCCTGTAGTAAATAAGAGTAACCCATTTTTTCGTACCTAAACCTATAAAAAACAATCATTTTAAGATTTTCCACCAAAATATTGCCAGCATATTATCAAAACAAGAACTTTTAGATATTACTGTTCAGGATTTAAAAGATGAGAATAATGATCCAGACGTTATATGCCTATCTGAAACCTTCATAAAAAAGGGTACTGAAAATTACGTCAAAATACACAATTATGAAATGGCTAGTAACTTCTGTAGAGATAAACAAAGAGGTGGCACTTGTATATTGGTAAAAAAAGGGATACAGTACAAGGAATTATCATCTATAAAACTAGGTGCCACACAAAATATTTTCGAAGCTTGCGGCGTAGAAATAATTCTACATAAAAAGTTGATAATTATATGCGTTTACAGAACTCCTCAATCTGATCCAATACAATTTCTAACAAAACTTCGTAATCTGTTACAAGCTTTACAAAATAAATACAACGCTAGGGTTAATATTGTTATTGCTGGTGATACTAATATAAATACGTTAAAAAAAGGCAACATTACAAATGAATTCCTAGATTTATCTAATAATTACAATTTAAAAATACATATTGACGTCCCAACTCGTAAATCTTCATGTATTGATCACATCTTAAGCAACATTGACAACGCAAATGCAACAGTATTACCCTTATATCTATCAGATCATGATACTGCACAGATGTTAAGCTTTCCTACAAAACACATATTAACAAAATCAGATACTTACTATATTTATAAAAGGGACTATAACATAAACCATATACTTAAATTTAAAGAATGTCTACATAATCTTTCATGGTGTGACGTATATCTAGATAGTGATCCTAATTCCGCTTTTAACAAATTTCACGAGTTGTTTTGTCTTATGTACAATCTTTGCTTTCCCAAAATTAGAGTGAAAATTAAAACCAATAAAACAAATGTACAAAAGTGGATAAGTAAAGGTTTACGACAAAGTTGCAAAACTAAACGTAAACTACGCTTTCAATATTATAACAATAAAAACCTAACTAACAAACTTAAATATAATAAATACTCTAAATTACTAAAGATTTGTATACTAAACTCTAAAAAACAAACAAACATAAACTATATTAATACGCATAAAAATAAATGTAAAGCTACATGGTCAGTAATAAAAAACGAAACAAATCAAAGCAACCTGAAGCAAAATATACAAGCCTTAAAAATAAATGGTACTGAAATCATTGATCCTGGAAAAATGGCATCAGTGTTCAATGATCACTACGTAGAACTTGGTTCCTCCATAACATTAAAAACGAATGCTGATCAAAACTATAACACAGCTAATGTAACTAAACGAGCTAACTCTATGTTCCTAAAGCCAATGCTCGAAAATGAAGTGCGACTAGAAATCGCGTCATTATCTAATACTGCATCTACAGGATATGATGAAATAAGCACAAAAATTATCAAAGCTTGTCACTGTGAATTGACCAGTATCTTTACTTATTTAATAAATTTATCTTTTTCAATCGGGAACTTTCCCCAATTGTTAAAACGATCAGTTGTAAAGCCCTTATTTAAAAGAGGAGACAAATCTGACATAAATAATTACCGCCCTATAACTTTAATACCTGTGCTATCTAAACTCTATGAAAAATGTATGTATAAAAGATTAATTGATTACTGCAATAAATTTGAAATACTAAACAATGAACAATACGGTTTTCAAAAAAATAAGTCTACCACTTTAGCCATTTTCTCTCTTATGAAAGATGTGCTCTCCAATGTTAACAATAGATACTTAACTACTGGCCTCTTTTTTGACTTGTCGAAAGCATTCGACTTAGTGTCACACGATATCCTACTTAAAAAGCTTGAGATTTACGGAATCAGAGGTCCTACGCTTTCATGGATAACTTCCTACTTACACGATAGACAACAATGTGTCATTGTCAATAGACTTAACAAGAAAAAAGATATTGTCTCTTACTCCTCGGAGTACAAACATAATAAACTTGGCGTTCCCCAAGGCAGCGTACTTGGCCCAATACTATTCTTACTGTACATAAATGACATAATCAGCATTACAAAACATAAATGTATATTGTTTGCAGATGATATATCTTTTATAGTATCATCTGATAAAAAATACTACACCATCACAGATCATGAGATAGAAATTAATAATACAATCAGTAAGTTATTAAACTGGCTTGACGCAAATCGTTTAAAAATAAATCTGGATAAATCTGTTTATATTCAATTCCATCAATTAAATAATATTAATAACACAAATAACCTCAATGTAAACAAAATTAAAGAAGTATCACATACTAAATTCTTAGGTGTAACAATAGATAAAGATACCAATTGGAAAGAACACGTCGATAATATAAGTAAAAAAATTAATAAGTTT